ATATATGTCTCTGTGTCTCTCTCTCTCTCTCTCTCTTCTTCATGAGAAACCCTAACTAATATGTGTGAGAGAGCGAGAGAGAACGAGAGAGGCAGAGGAAAGACACTTTGTTTTCTGTTGAATTTTGTTTGCTCTCTTTTCTTTTTTTTTTTTGTTGGCTCTTATATGACTCCTTTTTCTTTCTCTCTTGTTATATATATATATATATATATGTGTCTCCCTATTCACATCTTCCGACACCCATTCTCGCTTTATTTATTTATTTCACTCCATTTACTACCTGCTCCTATGACGTACATTACTGTATGTATGTGTACAGCTCCGTTGAAACACTCTATACTCGTGTTTCTCAAAATAAGACTCTCTAATATCCTATATACATGTGTGAGAAATTAATAGTCAAATAAATCTTCTTTCTTCTTCTTTTTCCTCTTTTTATCTATCTATCTATATGTGTGTTTACATGCCTAGCAACCGTAGTACACTATTTCTGTGAATTCCCATCAAATTATTTTTCTCATGTTTTATTCTGGATGGAACTTTCCCACGCCGCGGCGCATTGTGGCCTGCGGAAACGACGAACACGATGCGAATTACTTCGTGCAGGAGACCGGCAGCCCGGGCATCAGTTTACTGCACTTTCTCACACCCAACGGACTCTCGGGTGGGGGCTCCGGCACTTCCTCACGGCGGGACCCTGGCGAGCGTATTCATCTCAAGAGCGATGTGCCTATTCACCGGCACAGCGGGGTCTTTTACTTTGAGGTGGGTGTGCACACTGTTGCCCCAACCACCGCAGGCACGCGAAGAGGCGGAAGAGGCGGAAACGGAAGTAATGATCGCAACAACACCGCAACTGTTGGAGAACCCGAATTGGTGATTGGATTGTGTCGGGAATCATTGCCCGCACACTCACTTCCAGGGGAGGAGGCCTGCAGTATTGGACTATTCACCGCACAACGTATGGTTTATATGAATGGTAGACCCGAAGGTGAACCTGTTCGCTTTCCAATCGACACGCGTCAACGCCAGAAGAGTATTGACAATATTGATAATAATAATAGTAACAATAATAATGCTAATAATAACAGTGGCAATGGTAGCAATAATACAGGGACAAGAACAACCCAAGAGGAGCGTCGTGTAAAGGGAATTTCAGCAGGAGACACTGTTGGGTGTATTGTTAATCTCATGGATGGCACTCTGCGGTTCACATATAATGGTGAGCTCCTCAGTTTTGTGGGTGCATTAAATCGCCGAATGCCTCAACAAGGCTATTACCCCGCTGTTGGGGTTTTTCGACTTGTTCCTGCAGTTATCCTGCGTGTTGTATTTCAACCACTTGGACGAACAGCGTCAATTCCACGTCCCATGCCAGTGAACAACAACGACACCGTGGATCCGGTCTCTCCTAAGCAGGAGACAAGAACAACAGCGGCTGGATACTTTGTGTTTGATCTTGACAAATACTGTGAAGGTATCGCAGAGGATTTAGTGCGTGCCTATCAACAGAAGGCTGCAGAAATATTGGCAGAGGAAGAGGAAGGTGATCGTTGTACATGTCGAGATGCGAATATCATAGCAGCCATTCGCAAACACTTGGCCGCACGAGGGATGACGAAGGCCTTATCTGCCTTTGAAAAGGAACAACAGGAACTACGCTATACTGGCAATAGTGACAATAACAGCAAAAACAATAATAATAATAACAACAACAATAAGAACAACAACAACAACAGCAGCAACAATAACATCCCTCTTCAAGATAGGAAAATGTCGCAAAAAACGGAGGATGAAGAGGAAGTACGTGCTGGAAAACCGGTAGAGGCATCGGATACAAATGTAAATAGAGGCCATCAAAACAGTAGTAGTAGTAGTAGTATGTTGGGGTGTAATAATGAGAGTGAACCTTTGGGTGGTGTTGGTGATACCCGCAACATTCAGTATAGCCTTCACATTCAATCTCTACGTGAGGATATTTGCCGTGGGGACGTGCTTTCCAGCGCACATCGTATTCTTTCCAATGGAGTTCTCTCACCTGTCGCTCGCGATAAACTCGCCGCCGTTGACTGTGATGTTGATGCCTTACCGCATGACTTCTGGGGACTCATCTTTTTCACGCAGCGTCGTGATATTCTCTTTCTACTGCGCGCCGCACACGTTGTGGAAATAGCCCTCAACGCCGTGGAAGAGGGACTCTCCGCGTTGTTATCATCCCCACAGCAACAGCAACACAACAAGAACAACAATCATAATAACAATAACACTACCAACAACAACAATAATACTCCTTCTTCCACCACTACCGTTGCGGATTTCATGGAACTTGCGTTCAGGGTTCTTCTTGAACCATTTGAAGAAATTGACGCTGCGGTACGGCGACATCAGCGATCCTCCTCATACTCCACAGCGTTGCCATCCTCAGCGGCGGATATCCATCTGCAGACGAATACCAATACGACTGCTGCTGCTGCTGCTGCCAATGCTAATGCTTGTGTGGCGGAAGATGTTGCCTTTAGACCCTTTGATGAGTCTAGTACGGCAGCGACGCAGAAATGGCCCTCGGACGATCTCGCCGCTTATCTTTTTCTCAGCGGAAAGAACACAGTGTGGTCTGGGCCAGTCGCACGTGTTACACTGCTGGTGCGGCAAAGTGTGCCGAGTATAGCCCCGCCCAGCCAGCGGCAGCAGCAACGCATTGTGCAAACACTCTCCATGCTACTCTCACACCAACGGGCCGTATGTGCTCGGGTGAGGGAAGAGCTGCAGCAACAACAACAACAACAACAACAAATGTCATTGGAGTGGGTAGAAGACTGGTTATCTTTGATAGAGGAGGCCAGATCTGAGTGTCGGGCCCGTTGTTGGTGTCTTCTTCTTCACGCCATTGAGGATTTCAATGGGGCTTTGGAGTATCGTCTGCTGGTGTGGGTGCGGCGGCACGAACAGGAGCTGCGGGAGGCCGAGAAGGGAAGCGCCTCGCGGCATCACAGCGCGGCCGCCCACCGACGCGGTAGTGGAAGTCGCCGGTTGTTTCCATCACTGCGGGCGGCGTGGAGACACGTGCATGCGGCGGCAGCATTGGAGCCGTTGCTGCATATCGTGACGAAAGCCTTCAGTGATAAACTTAAACGCGCCACCAAAGCGGCAGAGTTCACTACAGTACCAACAGGTGATGATGGGGAAAGTCATACTAGTAATAATAATAATAATAACAACAACAATAATAATATCTATCACAAGAGTAGCGGTAGAGGTGGAGCATCACCAGCATTTGGTAAAGGTCCGAAAAGATGGCATTCCTTTACATCTACTATGGCTGAAGTTGATGATGAGAATGATGAGGTGGATGGGGGTAAAACTACTCAGGGTAGTAGCACTATGCCAACAGCAGCAGCAGCAGCAGCAGTAGCGGCAACATCATTATCATCATCATCACGCCTGTCAAGCACAATCAACAGCAATAATAATAATAATAATAATAACAACAACAACAACGGTGGAGGTAGTTATAGTGAGTTGCGAATGCGGACATCATACTACACTGATGACGTCCGATTGAGTCTTTTGTACATGAAACGTATATACAAAACAGTTTTTGCGTAGATGCGAGCCACGAAGAAAAGGGAAAGAAATGATAAAATATTACTCTGTAAATTAACTCATTCTTTTTAAATCTTCATTCTTCGTATTTACTTATTTGCGGGTTTTCTGTTTTTTTTGTTTTTTTTTTTTCTTTTTCTTATTTTACTCTGTTACACTGTCCGTGTGTCTTGTTTCTTTTTTTTTTCTATTTCGCTAGTTTAATCTATCCCAAATACACTCTTATATGTTTTCTTGGATCCTGCTTGTACGGTTGTAAACGTACAATGCAGTTCTCCCTTTGTTCTTCTTCCGTTCCTCATCGTTATCCTGAGTTTCCTCAGTTTTTTTTTTTTTTTGCTTTACAGAGATATGATGGTACGGAAGCAATATTTTTCTAATCACGTTTTTATTATTATTATTATTATTATTATTATTATTATTATTATTATTATTATTATTATTATTATTATTATCTCTTTTATCTATTACAAAGGGACTCATTCGAGTAGGGGAAAAAAAAATACTGCGAAAAGTTTCTTTTCTACTCTTAGTTATTTTTGCTTTTCCTTTTTTTTTCTTTCTTTTCTTGTTTCATCTTCCTTTCATGTATTTTGAGAAAAAAAAAAAAGCAGAGACTTTAATGGTTGGTGGTACTACTTTGCTTCATTTTTATTTTTCATTATTGTTATTATTATTATTCTCTCTCGCTCTGTGTGTGTCTCTCTCTTTTTAATAAACTTAACTTTGTGTTGTTGTTTTGTTTCTTCTATTTTTTCTTCTTCTATCTGATACTTCTGTTAGTAGTGGTATATTATATATATATATATATATATATATATATGGATGAAAACAGGCACGTACGTGCATTTGGATGACTGAATACTACCAGCAGAAAGAACATGATGGCTGTGTGTATTTCGTGGAGTGTGGGTTTACATTCGACGACTCCGCACATGTGTGGAAGGAGAAGAAAGACGTGAAAAGCGGTAAGAAGTATTACGTACAGCAGCAGAGTGGTGAAAGAAAATGGCGTCTCCCTCTTCCTTCTTCTTCTTCTCCTGTTCTTTCTTATACTAATACCACAGCCCCGGTGGATCCGCTGAAGCGCAGTAAGAAGGATGAACATAAAAAGAAACGCAGGAAAACCGCAAGCGAAGAGCGGAGAAAAGAGGATGAAAATGAAAAGATGGTAAAGAAGAATAATAATAATAAAGGGAAGAAGAAGAAGAAGAACGTTAACGATGATATGGGTTTTGAAGTAAACGATGATCTCTTCACTGCTTTTCTGATACCTTCAGAACAACAGGTGGATGAAATGGATAATATTGAAGAAGGAAGCAATAAAAGCAACAGCAATAGGCCGCACTCGCAGTTGGAGTTCATTACAATGGAGAATATAACCGAACCAGAGCTCAAGGTAGAGAAGTTAATAAATGTAGAAAAAGATAGTAGTAATACATCTATTCTGGGTGTATTTATTTTAAATAACAATGACGAGACCGATAATAATAATAATAATGACAAAGAATTGGTAGAGGAAGAAAGAGAAGACGTCTATCCACCTTTAAACCACTGCACATATGAAAGTTCTATGTTGCCTGCAGTTTCAGGGGCAGTAGAGGTTGAGACTTCACAAGACCATAGTATTAGTATCGATAATAATAATAATAATAATAATAATAATAATAATGACATTATTAATTTATCGAGTGGTCTAATTAGAAAGGAAAAAGAAATAATAACTATGGATAGTCCATATGTTAATATGGATGCTGATAGTGATACAACACTGGCATGGCAACCGCCAGGGTTAGAGGAGTTTGAACTGCACACATCTGATGATCCTGCAGGAAAAGTAACAGTAACATCAACGTCCGTAATGTTAAATGATAACACAAATGATAACATGGATGCACAGTTTTCCTTTAGGAACGAATTAGAACCCTCGGCAAATTTGGATTTGGTAAGTAAAGATGATTTCTTTAATGACAATAAGGTCCTAGATGCTTCTATTTATACTAGTGCTACTCTCTCTCATTTACAATCCGTTACCATTCAACCACCCGAACGGCCTGCAGAGGCGGATCTCTCACTAGAGCTTCAAGAGTTGCTAAATGAATCTTTTCTCCGTTATCGCCACGGTGATGTTCTTTCCACCGCCAACGTCAAGACGGTTTTAGATTGTGATGCTGCGAGAGAAGATGGAATATCCATGGAAATGACAACGAGGATGTCATCATTGGAGAACCGTCCCATCGAAATGGAAGAAAAGAAAAAGAAAGATGAACAACGAGAAAGGGAAGAAGAAGAAGAAGAAGAAAAACATCAAACGTCTCTACAATCTCCAGTAAAACCAATGACCACTTTGAATGCCAATCCCATGCAAGAGAAATTGCAGTTACTTAAGCGGCGACAGCGGACCATCACAAGTGTTGTGGAATCACCAGTGTTGTTTATTACAAAATCCACACCTAATAATAATAATAATAATAATAATAATAATAATAATAATAATAATAATCCCTCTGTCGGGCAAACTGGAAATACCAGACGTAACACTGGTGTTGTGCGTGAGTCTACTACACAGGGAAAGTCAAAGTCCCGCATCTCTTCCCATTCACCATCATCTATTTCTATGCGGGCAGCTACGGCCGCACGGGCAAAACCGGTACTTACACCATATACGGCCTCCTTTTCATATGCTCTGCAAAAGGAAGCGAAACGAAAGCGTGCAAGTGAAATGGCGAGCTCAATCTCCTTTCAAGATCAACCAAAAAAGGAAAAAGTACATACCGTGGAGAAGTCTTGTATATCACAAGCATTACAGAATGGAAGAAAGTTATCTCCATCAGCAGCTGGTCCTGTAAATAAGTCTACACCTACGACCTTTTCTTTTGCTCCCTCTGCTCCCATGAGATATATTGAAGCAGAACCAACGTCACTTCACTCACCTCCCAAGCCAACTCCATTCTTTGCTTCTACAAGTACCTTTATTTATCCCTCAAATTCTCGAGAGTTTTTGCATAAAGAGAGGCAGAAACGATATCAAAAATCTAGAGAGTTTAATCAAGATATTATTGAGGTTGACATGTCTCCCCAAAAGTTCTCTAACCCCGTCTTGAACTATACAACCTCGGACTTCACGGGTGGTCACACGAAAAGGAGTTCTGTTAAGTTAATAAATTGTTTTCCAGAGGAATGTGAAGGAGGACTCCCTGTCAAGAGAGGAGAGATCTCACATCTAACTACCAATAAACGTGCAGGTAGTAGTAGTAGTAGTCGCAGCAACTTTATCTCTAAAGAAGGCAGACAATATTATAAAGAGCGAGAAAAGCAAAAACGAAAGCAAAAAGAAGAAGAAGAAAACGTCAACACTAGCGTGGTACTACCGTTAACTCCAAAGCGATGGTCTGAGAATCCAGTTTATGATATTGCCGATCATGCGCCATCCACACAAGCCTCAACACGAGCGCCTAGTGTAACAAGTCTGAACCATCAATTACCGTCAACTCCCAGAACTCCACTGGAGAAAGGGAACGATCCGCATTGTTTTTCTTATTCCTTATCGACACTAATGCTGCCAAGGGAGAAACCAACAGAAGTCATCCAACATAGTGTGGCAGAACTGCAGCAAAGGGATCAGGATTTATCATTATCGCAACGAGAAAAAGGAGTCAGAGGAGCCAAATACCGACTCTGTGGTAATGAAGAGGTGAACAGTAATACCAAAAATGATTTGCATGTTTGCCAAGATCCTCTTCCTCCTCCTCCTCCTCTTTCTTTTCCTTTTAATCATTATAACGATCCTCAGGAATCTGATAAAAATGGTAGTGGTTACCAAAAGTATCGAAACGTAACGGAAGCAAACGCTTCTTTGGAAACTGTAATCCGAGCGGAGGCTGTGCGAGCTTTGGTTTCTCAATCACGTGCAACACCGGCGCAGCGCGAGGCGGATATAGTACACCATATGAATTCTGAAGAGCAGCAATTGTGGTCCTCACTGCGGGATAGACTCTCTTCATTGCAAGGGCGAGCTGCACAGTTGGCAGGGAAAATCACTGAGTGGGAAACGCAACACTCGTGCGTATCTGAAGAACTACAGAAGAAGCTCCTCCTTGTTCGGACGAAGAAAAACATCGCAATGCAGGAGTGGGAAAAAACAGAAGAGGTTTGCTGGGATTATTTTACAACACAGCTCCTGCTAGAGCCTGAAAGTTCAATGTATCCGCTAAAAAGTGGTATGTTTTCACTCTTTTTATGCTGAAGAGGTTCTTCATGATGTGAGTTTCTCTCTATTTGGGTGTTTTTTGTTATGTGGGTATTTCGTAATCGTAATCCCTGCCATACGCATACAAGCTGCATAATATATATATATATATATATATTATTTTTTTATTTATTTATCGTTTATCCTCCCTAGTTATTTATACGAATACCATGACACTGGATGAATAATCCGGGGTTAAAGAGTCATCATAAACATAAATCCCCGATTATATGTATGTTCTTTACCTTTATTTTTCTTTTATATATATATATATATATATATATATATATATCATCTGGGGGATGACATTGTTTATTGATTTCTTGGTTGTTGTTGTTTTTTTTTTTTTTATTATTATTTAAGATAAGGGCAACAAAGTGAGTCAATTTATTGTGTATATATATATATATATATATATATTTTCACGAATTAGAATCATGACCGTCAAGGAGCATTCCGGCAGTAGTGGAAGCACCCCAATTCCCGCTATTGACATACCTCAGAGCCTTGTGAAAAGCCTTCATATGCCTCTTGACCAACTGCTTCTTTTACGGCCATTGTTAGTCTGCCACGTTAGTCGTTTCGCGCCTGGTGTGATCAACAGTTGGTTACCGCGTGCTCTTCTCGTCACAGAAACCGGGCAGTTGCTGCTCTTTGACACTCACGATGGCCGTGTCACTCATGAGACCTCTTTGCGACTGGATAAACCCCCAATGGCTGAAGATGGTATGCCAAGAAGTGAAGAAGATAAGCGCCTGGTGCACGTGGTATTTGAAAATCAGATGGAAAAGGCGATAACAACGACTATGTGGCTTAAGATCGCTGTAACCGATTCTGTTTTTGCTGCTGTTCTCCGATTTCAGGAGCCATTTTCTGGAATGCCTGCAACCTTATTGCGGGTGATATTACGATTTGTCCCTGAACGTCTTGTCTCCATACAGAAGTGTGCAAAAGAGGGACCACTTGTAAAATTTATATCGAAAGAATTTTGTAGTATATCGAGTATAAAATCTGGTAATAGTAGTCCTCCTCGTCGTAGTGGTGTATTGACACCGAGATCATCTGCGAAACATTACATGACGGAAGTTGTTCGACAAGAGCTACAGCGACAAAGTGTCTTTAAGAGTGAAATGACTGAAGCACAAAATGCCTTAGCGGAGGGTTCTAAGGATAGAGATGAGGATAAGGTTTCTGACATACTCCCTCTCACCGCAGAGGAAGTTGTACCACCACAACCTCTTGTTGTATCGGCATTGGCAGATAATGAAGATACAGTACCCACTAGTGAAAACGCTGACGAAAACGAAGAAGAGGGAGAAGAAAGTGAAGAAGAGGAAGAAGAAAGTGAAGAAGAAGAAGAAGCTTCAGAGGAAAAGCAACAGGATTCAGATGATACCGAAGATGTAATACCTCCACAGGAAGAGGTGAATGAAGAAGGGTGTGATGCTTCAGAAGAAGAGGGAGAAGGGCAAAAAAAAAGTTTGGATATGCCCCAGAAAGATGACGTGGTCTTCTCATATGGTAACGATAAAGAGAGGTCTGAACGGAAAGAAAGAAATGCAGATACATTTGTTTTTCATAATCTCGCAAAAGTGGTGTCTTCTACTCCAGAAGGTCGTGAAAGTGAAGTGGAAAGGGAAGTATCTCAAGAACAAGTGTCGAGAGAAGACATGTGGAAAAAAAATCATACATCACATCAATACGAGAGTAAAGAAAAACATGTGAAATTGGTAACTGCGGATATAACAAAGGATGAACAGATAGAACTCTCACCCAATGATGATGCGAGGTGTTCCTTTGATGCCACCCCGCTGCAGCGGGCAACACCAACCTCAGCTCCACTATCGATACCAAGCGGTAAAATAATTAAGGAAATGGTTCCCTACATTTTGTCATTAGAGAATACTGAAGAGAATGAATCACACATTGTTCATAACAGCAGCTTCGCGTTAGATGGATCACAGCAAACTTCATCCACTTCTCTTAAAAAAATGGATAACGTAGAGACAATAATGAATGACGAAGTCTTGTCTCACTCTTTAAATAAACAGGACGAAAAAGTTTCCTCCATATTGTATATCAGCACGAGTGGAGGAGGGACAGCATTAACGCAGAACTCTGTTAATGTTGCTCTTCGGGCCAATGGAATTCACATCTTATCCACCTATCCTCTACAACGACCAACAACAGACTACACTAACGAAGCTACCGGAAGTACAGAGACAAAACAACACTGGCAGCAAGTATACAACGACAATCTTGGAAGAAAGAGCGAACCACGCGTGAGCAAAAGAGCACCCACAGGTACTTTCACACGAACCATAATATCATAAGCACGTATATCGAGAGAAGCGGTACTGAAATATCAGAGGGGTACAAACATTCTGCAATCATCATGTACTCTCATTCATTTTAATCCTCCCTTACTCTACATAGTAAATATAACAAGAAATACAACTATCGAATCAGTCTTCAAGTTACCTCAACAAACAATCTACCCTCAAAAAACCATATCTCAGTAATATATATATTGTTTTTTATTTTCTCACAGCATAAAAATTACCTATTATTCAGGTAATAGGAAGAAAAAAATTCACTTAATTTTATTACCTTTTCTCTTCTATTCTATTTTTCTTTTGGTTTAACTAACTATACGAATCTATACAGCACGACCACTGTTACTGCTCTTACTGCCTCCATGGAGAATCACAGTTCTCCGGTTCGTAAAGAGCCCCGCTCACGTTACAAAAAAAGAAACTACAGACACTTTAAGTTAGCTCTCGTCTTAATGGCAATTTTATCACTTTCTATATTTATTATCAACTTGTTTTTCTACGAACACTTTGACGATTCATGGTACAACTGCCATCCTGCAGACTTCACCAGTCGCCAATTAAAGAAGGGGCCTGGAGGCGGTGATGTGCTTGAGCTCCGACCACGCTGTGGTGATCCTCCACTGCGGCTCTACAAGCTTCACGAATTCTGCGCCGCATACGCCCCAGAGCTGCAGAATGCTACCTGGGCTGACGAGAGTGTGAAACGCTTTCGCTCTGCTCCTGGAGACAATGATGCTGGGCTACCCTCCTATCCCTTTCTTCCACGACCTGTATGCTTTCGCAACAGCAAGCTCTTCTACGATGGAACAGACCTAGGAAGACGTCCGCTTCCAAAGACTATTCGCATTAACTTGGACTGGGCGAATCTAACGGAGGACGTCTTTAATCAACTGCAGCGGGACGCATCCCTTGAGAAAGTGGTGGTGGTACCTGCGATTGGTCTTGTTCCGTTAGGTGAGTTTATGGTGGGTCAACTATATCATATTATGAACGATTTGGTTGCGCCGCTAATGACTCTCATGACGAGGGGAGGGAACACAACGGTACCACAGTTGTTTACCGAGCTGGCGAAGTCGCCTACACAGATATTTACAATGCCTCACAAGGACTTGATGTGGCCGCGGGCACGCAAGGAGTATGCGGTGCCGCAAACGAAGCATTTTATGGGTGCTTTCTCCTATCCCACGGCACCGTCACGCTACTTTTTTGATGGTGCTCCCATTCTGCATGAAAATACTCTCTACTGTACCTGCCAGGGGATGTTAGTTGGCAACACGGGAGTGGAGGAACCCCAACAACGTCGATACGCCGCGCTACGCCTTGCTGCCGATCTGATACTGCGGTATATGAATGAGACGCCGTACGAGTCGGCAGAGGAGACTGGTGTGGCGGAGGATGTAGATGGTGTGCCCGTGCCTGTCCTGCGCCGCTTCAGCCACATGCCGCACATTGCCCGGCGCTTCTGGACGACGGAGGTAGATGTGGTGCAACGCCGCGGGGTGGCGGGTAGCCGTACGGCGACAGTGCCGGTCTACCGCCCCCGGCTTCTGCTTATCACCCGCAAGCGGAGGAGGGTGCACAACTCTGAGGAACTGGCCGCAATGGCGGAGCGTCTCGGGTTCAACGTGCAGGTGGTGGATATGGAGACGATGTCGCTGGAGGAGCAGTTCCACGTGGCTCGGCACGCCGACGTGGTGATGGGCATGCATGGCATGGGTCTGACGCACGTCCTGTGGATGGATGGACGCCAACGGAGTAATTGTCGCACGTTAATTGAGCTAATGCCATTCGGGTGTCCCCAGAAACTAATACACTTTTACAGTACGTTTTCAAAAGCAGTTAACATTCACTACGAATACGTGGAGGCCGTCGACATGTACCTTGATGGCCTTAATAAGGGTGGCAACGCAAGCGAATTAGAAAAGGAGGAGTTTCTCCAAGTGAAAAAACGCATGATATCATGCGGGTTTCGCTGGCGATACAAAGGTTTCGCCGATCAAATTGCTGTTTACAATGTGTCTGATGTAGAACAACAACTTGTAGCAGCACGCGAACGCCTAAGAATGTGCGGTATTTCTTAGAATATTTTGAATTTTTCTCTCTCCCTGTTATATTAACCCATACTGTATATTTGTGTAATGTGCATTGTGGGTATCTTTTATGTATGAGTAATGTTTTTTTTTGGGGGGGCGGGGGTTTTGTCCGTATTTACTTCCCTACCTTTTTTTCGTTTTTATGAAACTCTCACTATGATATTATTAATGTGGTGTGTAGAACACAATATCATGGTTAACTAGTTCTCTCCCAATAACGATGTTCCTTGCTGTTTTTGTATCTTTTAGTATTATTATTTTGTTGTGCGTGCGTGTGTGTTTTAGGTGGGAAGAAAAACCCTTTTGATATTGGGTGTTTTTTTTTGTTGCTTTTTCATGCATGAGTTCCTTTTTTAGAAGTTCTGGTGTTCTCATGCTCTAATCAAGTTTCCCCTTTCCTTTATAAGTATATATATATATATATATATATATATATATATATTACCAAGTAGATTACCGTGTTCATGTAACGTTTATAACGTTGGTATATGCCCTTAATTGTTCGCATCCTTTGTTTTTTTTTTTTTTTTCTTTNTTTTTTTTTTTTTTTTTTTCTTTCTCTCTTTTTTTTTCTCACTCTTACTGTATAATAGTAAGAAGAGCGAAAACGGACATGTCTGGTACGCATCATCTCTACACGCGCTCAGGGCGCCCGATGCCGCCACCGCCAAAGTCCACACCGCACCGCAGCTCAAGTATATGCCGAACGCCCACCAGGCGATATAATCCCGTCGAGCGAAAGTCGGGGAGCTCCTGGTCCCCCTCCGGTCGTCGCAAAACAAATCCGCAATATGAACGAATGCAATTGCAGGTGCGGAAGCATCAAAATGATGAAACACAACTTGTGTCTATGCGTGGGGCGCAAGGGCGGGCTGCGGAGAATGCCGCGCCACGTCAACCAACACCACCACTGTTGTTGGAGAATTCCACATCAGCACGGGGACGCCAACGGGGGGAAGAAAAGCGCCCTGCAGCGGCGGAACCACGTCGTGTGGCACGCAGTTCGAATAATCGCCCGGATGATACTCGTATGTCTACAGTTACGGACGAACGTGACTACCATAGTTACGCACGCTGGAATCACAGTAATGAGGCCTCCAGAGTAAGTCCACATTTCACACGTTCATTTTCTCAACAAGGGGCTGAAGTTGGAGATCCACATCACTCTATAACTCAACGATTACGACGTTCCTTGTCACGAGGATATAGTCCCCAGCGTGGTCGTCCAACTCAAGGACTGGTGGGTACAGAACTTATGCCAACTATGCCATCTCTACAGGGCGCTCATCAAACCTCGAAAAACCGTGACCGAACAACATTAGAGCGTTTCATTAAAAATCAGCCGGCTGAATCGAGGGAAGAGATGATAGCGATGTTGGAAGAATACAAGGGTCGGGAAAATGAACTATGTGATGCACTAAATGAAGCCTACAGTGAATCTTGGGAAGCGGCTGTGAGGGGGTATAGCGCAGGAGCTACGCCATTGCAGGGAAACAACACTCCTGGAAGTCTTACACAGTATAAACCACAACAGTTCAAAGATGGAGATAATAGAACTGCTGCTCCATTTTTAAATGGGGAAAAAAATACCGATATGGCATCCCATGTTAAATCAAAAGAGGATGCCAATACTTCACGTCAAGGAGTGTTCACACCAAAGTTAATTGCGAGTGCTCAATCATCTCCTTCACGGCCCCAAGGCATTAATTATAGCCCAAATCGTTTACAGTTACAGGTGGAATCCACTACGCCCATTCGTAAGGAAAATTTTAATCGAAACAAAAGTCTCGAGAGAGAACGCTACGATGATGATGTGAGTCCAAAGCCTCGACAGGTCCCTGGTGGTGTTGGTGGTGGTAATGGTGGTGCTACAGGCTCTGTACCACGTGTTGGTGGTTTTCTTGACTATCGTGAAGCATCGCCACGCCCCGGTGGCATGTTGACGCCTCCTCTCCCACCTGACCTCCTTACTCGATGACCTACTTCATTAATATTATTAGCGCAGTAAAGAATTTCTCTGTGCGATCATCCGAGTGGTAAGTGGTATGGTGATGATGATGTTGAGGAAGGATCGTTTAAAACCATTTATTGATGCAAATGCTGTTAAAGGGATAACTATTAAACGCAAAAAGATGATAATGGTTTTCTTTTTCTTGGTATCTTTTTCATGCACCTTCTCTCTCATCTGCGCCATTGTATATCTTTTATTTTCGCATGGTCGTACCCCCTTTTTATTCGTACTTATTGTATATTGTTGTTTGGTGGGAGTTTTAGGGATGTGTTGTCACTATTACTACTACTATAACTACTATATTTATTTATTATTATTACTGTAATTCTGTGTGTTTGTGTGTATTAGGAACTTGCGTTCTGATATTGTTGAAATGCTGGTGTTGATATATGCAGAGAAGAAGTTAAACGAAAAGTTACTCAAAAGGGAAAAAAAAAGTGACAAGAGTACTATTAAACAATCACATACACACGTTCGGGTGACCGTGAGTTGATAATAGTTACAAGGACTCTTGTACTGCCCCTTTCGCTGTGAATGTGTCTCTAGAGTAAAAAGAAGAAGAAAAAAAAAAAGACAGAGATTGGGGGAGGGGGGGAACCATCTCGTTTTATCTTTGTAGTTGTTGTTCATGTGTTGTTCTTTTAGAAATTGTGTGATTCAATTGTGTTTGTGTGTGTCTTTGAAAGATGAAAGACATTTCTGTTTACCTGTTAATGTGTGTGTGTGTGTGTGTAAATTTTATCAGTCTGACATTGTTGTTGTTGTTGTTGTTTGGCGACCATTTTTCCATCCGTGGACAACTTGAGGGGGAACGGGGAGAAATAAACTCAACCTTCAGGTGCTTATATAGAAAAAGGAGATATCTTCGTGTGAGTGGAAGATTTCCCTTTCGCCTGATCTTTAAACTTCCCCTCTCCGTTTTTTTTTTTTTCTCAATGTCATAGAATACGGACTCTCGCAGTAGCAATAACACTGGTCGTAATTTTGAACTGACAATAGAAAGGACAGGAAGAGTAGAACTGAGTAGGAACGATCAATGGAAGAAGAAATATATAAAGAGGGATAGTTTCTCCACAGAGAAGAAATGAGACTAAAAGAGCACCAGTTGCAAAAGTTATGAATTATATGCAAGTAGATCTACTGGTATCCCTTTTATTTTCGTTTTCCTGTTTTTTCTATCCATTTTTATCCTCCTATGCCCCCACTTAAATATTTCCGTTTAGTGTATATTGAGAATGTCGATAATAGGGTTTCTCCCTTATCGTGTTCTCATTTGTATTTCCCATTTTTTTTTTTTTTTTTAGTTTACAAACGCTGTACCAAGAGAGAATGTCGGTATATCTGTATTGCCTCCGTTTCGGGCTATAAGGAGGCCGGAAAGAGGGGGTGGTTGGAAATACTGTAGAAAAAAGAGAGAACGTGTACGTGGGTATATTTATATAGTATGTTCATATGGTATCTATATATATATATATATGTGTGTGTTTATTTGGCATGAATACCTCCCATTTTTGATTATCCACTCAGTGCGTTAATATATTGGTTTCTACTGAGTTTTCTTTTTATCTTTTCATCTCATTTCTTCTGATGTATTCCTCTTATGAGGGTGGTTTAGTGCACTTGTAACTCTTATTGTTTTTTTTTTGTTTTGTTTTCTTTCTTATTCTCTTCTTTGCAAGTTTTAAAGGGAATTGTTATGATGAAAGACATGAAAACGGCACGATCGGCCATATTGGCTCTTGCTTTGCTACTCCTTCTGCAACTCTGCGCTGCTGAGGAGTGCACGGAGGGGATGGAGCTTCCTGCCGAGATGAGTCCACTGCACTTACTGCAACAATCATCTATGGAATGGCAAGCCGATACACAGAATGTGAGTAATAATAATAATAATAGTAATAATAACGGGAATATGGATGGGGAGTGGCATCATGTCGGTGCGGTGCGTGTAGTCTCGCCGGCGGGAGAACGAGTAGTGCGAGTGGTGCTCCAGCCGCCGCTCGCCACACTACACTGTGAAGAGTCCCGCAGTCGCACCGCTAAATTCCGTCGTGGTAGTTGTACACTACATCCAACAGACAACACTGAAGATGATGTTATCTTCCACTACCGCGTGGCTCAGCGAGCGGCGGGTGGTACGCACACTTACGTTGGTACTCTTTGCCGTGATAGCATAGATGATAGCGCCGCAGTCGCAGTGGGAAGAATCACATATACTGTATCCGATGGTACTACACACACTGGCGGTGAAACTGGTACGCTTCTTCATCTGCAGTTTGGCTCTACAAGAGTAGCGTGGTTACCCGCAGCGCTGCGGCTCACGGGGTACACACACGAAGAAGCCGAACGGCGGCGAATGCGGCGTCGAGTGGCATCAACACCGTTGGAGCGTTGGGGATATCCATTGTTGTTTGTAGCAATACTGTACGGCACTCTCAGCGGACTTGCGTGGTGGGTAAACCGACAGAAGCGGCAACCCCACACATCAGATGGAAAACCAAAGCAGGCGTAATGTGAAGAAGGAAGGAAGAAAGGAAAAAAGGAAAAATAAAAATAAAAGGTAGAAGGAATCATGCGTATGAGTAGAGAAATGGTGTCTCTACTTTGTGGGTGTTGTGCTGATGAGCATAGTGCCCGTATTTCTGTGGTGGTAATGACGATGATAGTTACTCCTTGTCTGTATATTGGGGGTATCTCTGGAATCTTGTTCTGTGGGGTGGGCGAGAGAGAGAGAGGGAAATCATTCTAAAGAGGAAATTAAAGTGTGATTAAAGTGTGAATTGATCCGGTGGGTTGTTTCCTCTGTGAGGCTTTCCCTCTCACCCCCACTTTCTCTATCTTTCCTCTCATTTCTCTCTCCTCTATCCTCTCTACTATTGCTTATTACGTGAAATTGATTAATTTCTGCTTTTACCACCAACACCAACACCATCCTGCATTACTTATTTCGTTATCTCTTGCTGCCTGAAGGATACCAACAACAACACAACAAAAAAAAAAAAAACAGCTGCTGTCGATAGCTTGTACATAAATAAAGAGAGAATAAGAACCACAGAGATATACGCGTAACATAATGATTGGTACACCTATCGAAAATCTGACGCTGGCTCAGATTAGGGATGAGTTACGTAATTTGTATGGTGTGAAGGATTTCTCGGACTGTTTAGAACTAAAAGATCTGCAAGACAAACTCACCAAGGTTCGCGACACGGAGCCAATAACCCATGGACTTCGTTATGGTCCGTTGCTGCAAATTGGTAATAAGCAATCCCCAACAGGTGTAGTAACACTATCACATGGGTTGGGTGACTCTGCTCATGGCTGGGAAGATGTGGCCTCCGAAATCTCAAGACGTCTTCCGCATCTACTCTTTCTTTTGCCAACGGCTCCTGTGCGACCTGTCACGATTAACGGAGGTATGTCAATGAACGCCTGGTATGATATTACTAATATCATTGGAACAGCATCACCGCCACCGCAGGAGAGCGAGGCTGTGTTAGCCTCAGCAGATTACATTTGCAGTCTGGCGTACAACGCCACACAACGTTATCACATTCCTAAAAACCGTGTTGTATATGCTGGATTCTCACAGGGAGCAGCTATTTCACTTGCGGCCGGCCTAACCGGTCGTATTCCCGCAGCTGGCGCGGTCGTTCTCTCCGGGTACCTCGCAGGTGGTAATGAGATTTTGTCACGTCTGCGCAACAAGAACGTACCTATTTTTATGTGTCATGGAACACAAGATACCATAGTGCCATTTGATGCGGCAGAGCGTACAAAGGAAGCTCTGAAGAAGGCAGGTGTGAGTTCAGTAAAGCTTAATTCATATCCAATGGAGCACTCGTCTCATCCGAAGGAAATAGAAGATGTGGTGAAATTCCTGAAGCAAGTACTTCCATAGGCAACATCTGGAACATGACAAGGAGAGTAAGTAAAAAGGTAAGTAAATGGCTAAAAATAAAAATAAAAGTAAAAATAAATGAAAAACAATTGACATACGCGGAGGAATAAATCACGCTTATTCATGACTATATGGATACAGACACACACACACACACACATAAATAAATAAGTGTACATATATTACAATTCTTGATCCATATGAAAGAATCCTATATATTATATTTCCCCCTCCCTTTCTTTCTCTCTCTCTCTCTCTCTCTCTTTGCATACACTTAGCATTCGTCCCCCACGTCCCCCATATACATATAGAAACAAACAAAAATACATTTTCCCGGACTGTGGCTGTGGGCAATGCGGCGCACGCTGGCCCCAATGTTGGCGGGCTACACATACTTTGAGGATATGTTCCCCCGCCACGAACCCGCCCCGCGGTTTGAATCGTACGAAGCGCAGACCGCCGCCGCTGCCGTGCGATCCCTCGAGCCTCGACGGCAGCGGACGGAGTCGGAGAAGTTGCAGCATCTCCATTCCTGGCAGCGCGATCCAGACGGTCTCACACCACCGCCGGAGTTTGGATGGCCGGAGGAGTGGGGACCAGAACCGGGAGAAGATGGACACAGCACATGGTATAAAAAGAATAGAATGTACATGTCGTACGAAGAGAAGTCAAAGTACGATTTGCGTATGGGCGTCCCCGTAGAGAAGAACTCTATGCGGCATCAAGAAATGCCATATCATAAGCGCATGAAGGCAGCTTATCATAACTTGCAAGAGGAGAAGCCGCAGTGGTTTGATCCACGGCAGCGAAAATATTGGGCCCAGTACTCATATGAAGATCAACGAGACTCCGTCGCGAAGTCCCGTGACGATTTTTTGAAAGAGTGGCTTGATAAACCAGATGTAACGCAGGAAAATGTAGCGAAGAAAATTGGGGACTATAATGGGACCGCAAAACATCAACAAGTAAAACCTGTACAACGACGTCCCGAATGGGAATTAGCTCCTCTACCAGAGAATAGGTGAAGCCGTTATTATTTTTTTTTTTTTTGTTATTGTATGTGGGTATATTTAGATCATATATTCATTGTAGTGTCATATTTCTTCTTATTCCTTCTTTTTTTTTTTTATCGACAAAATTATTATATACGTGGTTTTGATTTCATTTGTATATGGATTGACTCTCTCTATTTAATTTTTCTCTTGGAAGGATTCTCTCCACCACAGTTCTCATTTCTCTCTTTTTTTTTGTTGTTTTTTATTGATGTTGATGGCTATTACTAACACAAATGGGAGGAAAAGAAAGAGAATAAAGAAGGGAACGAGATGCTGCGTCATGTTTCTCACAGTAGAGGTGTGTTACGTGCGGCAATGATGGCGACAGAGATATCTCGACAATCGACATTTCTCTTACCATTAGTACGTTATCAGAGCTCCGATGCCTCAGTAAAACAATCAAGACATTTATCAAAGGAAAAGAGTAGAATTCATGCGATAAGCACAAATACAGCAGATGCCTCTGCGTATGTTGGTGGTGATGATTTTCCTGATTATTCTACTTTACGTCATACAGGATATATGTTAATGCACAGTCGTCGTTTGTGGGTACCGGCAATGATGGCTGCTCTATATCAAGCTGCCGCACCGCTTATCTTGACTTCTTGGGTTACCAAGGGTTGTTACCTGAGTCTCTGTGTAATGCTTCAACGCCTTAATGTTCGTGGTCGAATGAATCATTTACGAAAAGACCTCACTGGTTATACCTGCGTGGTTACTGGTGGTACGAGTGGTATTGGACTCTACACAGCCATGCAGTTACTTGATATGGGGGCTCATGTTGTAATTGCCGCACGTCCAGGAAGAGAGGAAGCAACACGAGCATACATAAAGGCCCATTGTCAATGTGCAAAAGGGACAGATGCTAATGTGTTAGACAAACGTTTGACTTTTCTCCCATTAGACTTATCGGATCAATTAGATGTTATGGCCTCTGCGGCACGCATTAAAGGAATTTTTAATGATCGAATTGATCTTTTGGTTAACTGTGCTGGTATCTGGCGTGATGAACCAACAGTTACCAAACAAGGTTTTGAAGAACATATTGGTGTAAACTTTCTCGGTCCATTTCATTTCACAGAGGCGTTGTTGCCATCCTTACGGCGATCTAAACATGGTGGTCGCATTGTATACGTCACCTGTGCCTCCCACAACGGTGTACATAAGGCAAATATTGTGCAGGAACGTATGTTGTTAAAACCATCACCAGAGGAATCACAAGTAACAGCACGGTGCTACAGTGCCTCTAAACTAGGCAATATCTATCATGCCCAATCTATCGCTGAACGACGTTACGAGGGAATTCCACTCAATCAACCATCCGAATTACGACCGGTAGATGTGTGTGTGGCGGATCCTGGTTTCTGCGCAACAAACCTCACCTACCGTGAATCCCCACCCATTCTTGGAATGAGTATTATCGCACGCACACTCCGTTCACTGTGGATAAAGGATGGGTATGAAGGAAGTCAGACGGTGGTGAATTGCTGTGTACGTGATGATATCGAAAATGGTGGTTACTATGCGGAATGTTTACTAATGCCTAGTGGATTAAGTCGTCGTGCACATGATCCAAAAAGTCGTAGTGAAGTTATACAATGGGCAATGTCAAAGACCATCGCAAAATATTACACATTTAAGCCACTAGGTGCTGATAGACGTGTGAGTGGTGCTGCTTCCTCTTCTTCTGCTGCTGCTGCTGCAGCGCCTTCTTCCTCTTCCTCTGAGAAGGTGGAGGAGAATACTCAAAGCAAGATGAAACAATGAAATTGTTAATATCTTCTTGTTAAAAAGAGGAGGGGTACCGTTGCAAATGAAAAGATTTTTTTTTTTGTTGTTGTTGTTGTTTCTACTACGGTCACACCCACAAATACGCATATGCATAGAAGCACGTACACACACATATACATATATATGTACACTCATTGATTGATTGAGTGTGGATATGTGCTGTGGTTACTTCTCCGAAGGAATGAAAAAAAAAAAAAAAAGGGAAAGAAACAAATGGCTCTGGTTTCCTTGTTCTTTTTTCACATTGATTGTATCCTTTTTTGTTATTTTATATATTATTTTATATATATATATATATATATATATATATATGTGATATTGTTTTCTCTTCTTGCTCTTCTATTTTTTTTTCTTTGTTGCATCAAAACAAGAGGGTGTCGATAGTGCAGCAAAGCAGAATGCAACGTTCTTCAAGCATTCGATTTGTTGGTGGTGGCGCTGCTGCTGCTGCTGCTGTTGTTATGATTAGAGCAGCTGCAACTTCAGTCTGTTCAACTACTTCATCACATGGCTCTTGCGGTGTGCGTCATTACTACAAGCCAACAGGGCGTCTCTTGCGCCCCCGCAAACTTTCACAGGCAAAGCAGACACCACTTTACCCAGGTATGTATAAGCAGGTGAAAAAATTTGATGGTGAGTATACCTACAATCACGGAAGCCACACCTTTGCAATCATACGTGAAGGATCTATCTTTGCTATTTTGCCTATTGGTTGTCTCATTGCATATATCGCCTCTTATTTCCCTCAATTTGCGGCTATTCCTTTAGAATTCCAGGGTTTATATTTCTTATTTCTTCTTGCTTATTCCCGCTGGTCTGCGCGTGGTCGGCGGAACCGTGAAGTAAAAGATTTGACCGATCGACATGTAGTGATAACGGGTGGGACGAGTGGCATTGGACGTGAAACGGCCGCACAACTGGCCGCAATGGGAGCCAACGTGACAGTGTTGTCGCGTAATGGACCACATGTGGATACAGCTATGAAGTATATTAGGAAATTTGCACGAAATGAGACACAGGAGATTCAATTCACCGCATTAGACCTCGCAGACTTTATTGCCGTACGAGATTACTGTAAACGTGCACGACATAATAAGATGATAATAGATATTCTAGTGAATAATGCTGGATTGATGGAACCGAAACAAGTAATGACCCGCTTTGGTGATGATGAACAGCTTGCTGTAAATCTATTAGGCCCTTTTCTTCTTACAGAAGGGTTATTACCACTTGTAGCGGAAAGTAAAGGACGTGTGGTGTATGTTTCCTGTTCTGCACACGTTGCGGTGAAGGGGAATATTGTCGCAACTTATCTTTCTGGTCGCGGGTTGTGGTCACCTCGTGTGCGGGATAAGTTTGATGGACTAGAACAGTATGGATTCACAAAGCTTGGTTGTATTTACCACGCACAGAATCTGGCAGCTCGTTCATATGTTCATATATCTCCTTCATCATTCCCTTTTAATTCACCTACACCTGCAGAGGCTGTGAAACATATTACTTCTCCCCATATTGGTAATACTAGTACAACTAGTTTCACTATTCATAATAATAATAATAGTCCTAATAATAATAGTGGTAGTAGTAATAATAATAATAATAATAATAATAATAATAATAATAATAATAATTCACCGCAGTATACCAGCTGTGTCGCAGTTCCTAGTGCTGTCGTGACCAATCTTTATCGTCATGTTCCACTGGCTGCCACATTCCGCTGGGGACGTTATTTTTATCTACTCGTTATGCGTACACCGTATGAAGGGAGTCAGGTGGTGGTGAACTGTTGTGTGCGGGAAGAACTTGTGAATGGTGGATATTACCAGAACTGTCGATATAGTCCCTCTGGTCTTTCCTCTGCGGCGTGTAATGTGGAGGAACGCAATAGTGTGTTGGCCTGGGTGCGAAAGAAGATGCAACCGTACATGCGGTGGGATGTCTAATTGATGCTTGAAAAAGAGAGGGGGTATGTACACTGATGCGGTCAACACGATAATATATATATATATATATATATATATATCTAGATGTACACGTGTTGTTGTTTTCGTATAGAAGTGCGTTCTTTTTGTTTTTGTTTTTGTGATTTTTCTTTTTGTTTACTTATGTATTTCTTTATACAACTATGGTTATTCTTGTTGTTGTTGTTGTAGTTTGCTCTGGTGTTTCGCGAAAACAGGATATTATGATGAAAGGGAGAGAGAAAAAAGAAAGAATTTAGTGACGGTGGCGGGGAGTATTTAATTTGAAAGGGGGAAAAAAAAAAGATGACGAGTTCGATTTGAGTTCCAGGCAACATTCTGGAGAAAGAGAGAATATATATATATATATATATATATACCACTCTCTTTCTCTTTCTTTCTCTCTCTCTCTCTTTTTAACTGTGCCTACATGTGTGAGAAGGGAAAAAAAAAAGAGGGATTAAAGTGACAACACAGCACATTAAAGTAGAATAGAAGAGAAGAAAGAAAAGAAAAAAACATAAGGAATACTAGCGTTACGTGATGGAAGTTAAGGGCACTTCATATTTCTTTTTCTCTTTCTCTCTGTGTATATGTGTGTATGTTTTCTCATGCCTCATGTTGTTTACCAATATAGACTCACACTCATCTATTTTTTTTTCTCTCTCTCTCTCTCTCTCTCTCTTTCTCTTGTTGTAGACGCTCTGCATTTCTCTACACGTCTGGAGAGCTTAAAGACACTATACGCTATAAAAAGAAAAAAAAACAAGAACTAGGAACTCAAGCTTTACTAGCAAAAACAACAGCAACAAAAATAAAAAAGAAAAAATATATATATATTAAACAATACAGCAAAAGTAAGGGACGACGGGTTGTGTAAGAGACGTTATAAAATAACGTGTATATTTCTATCTACCTCTGTGCTGGAAGTAATAGCCAACAGTAAAAGATATATAAAGTAAAGGAACGAAAAAAAAAAAAAGAAAGAAATGGTAAAGTTAACACATGATGAGGCGCAGCGTGTGAAGACGGCATTTCTCTCCTACTCGCAGGGCCAAAGCCGCGTGCCGGAGGCGATGATGGATCAACTCATCTGCGGGGCGGTGCCGGGCCTCACGTGGGAGCAGCTGCAGGCCCGCAAGCCGGCGAAGAACAGCAGCAACGCCGACGGGTACGACCGCAGCGCCTTCTTCGCCCTCGTCGCCTCCGACCCGGTGTACGTGCAGTTCATCGCCGCCCACTTCCCCTGCGCACCGGAGGAGGAGCGGGCACCGGAGATTGATGCGCTGGAACTGAAGACACAGAAGGGCTTTTAAAAAAAGAAAAAGAAAAAAAAAAGAAAAACACGCACTCTATATATATATATATGTATATACGTATATATGTATGGAGGGAGAGAGAAAGAGAGAGAAGTTAGAAAATGAGGAGGAAAATGCTTTTTTTTTTTTTTTTTTTTGTGGGGTATGTGTGTATGTTGGGGAGTTATTTAAATAAGTATATGCGTACAACATATATTATGTATATGTGTACATATCTTTTTGTGTCCCTCCCGCCGTTTTTTTTTTTTTTGTGTGTGTGTGTATATATATATTATCATGATAAAGGAGGAGAAGAAGAAAAGAAGAATATTCTGCTTTGTTTTTGCTTTTTGGTAGACTAAACCGCAGACACTGTAATGTCTTTCTTTTGTGTGAATGTAATACTAATAATAATAATAATTGGCACATTGTTCTTGTGTGCTGTACCCCCAGGTGTAAACTATCTCTTTATTATCCTCCTCGCTTCTCACTCTTTCTATTTTTCTGCATCTGTGTTTGTTTCTTTATGTATGTTTTTGTTTTTCTTTATTTGTATGTGCGGTTATTTTCATTACACTTCGTATACATTCAGCCTTTTCTTTGATTTTATGTGTTTTTCTTCTTTGCTGCTGTTCCTCTTCTGTTGGTTTTTTTTAGGGTGAAACAACAGAAAGAGAGAGAAATACCCACTTGTCTCTCACCCCTCACATTTTTTTTTCCCCCTATTCTCTTCTCTTTTCTTCTTTTTTCTTCTCTTAGTGTTATCTCATTGCGTTTTAGTTCCAAAGGAAAGATGGAAGATAACTTGGCGGCGGAAATCGCTAAAATAGAAGCCGAACTTGAGGCGGATTGTCAGTTGCGTGAAAAGCAACAACAGCAGCAATTACAACAGCAACAACAACAGCAACAGCAGCCGTTTGCTTCGGGTGGAATGATGTCTCCCTTTGCTGGGATCTCCACACCGCAGCAGCAGCAGCAGCCGTCCCTCCATCCACAACATCAACACCACAGCGATCATCATCAGATGTTCACACACGTCCAACAAGGGGGAGTCTATCCCCTAGCACAACAACAATTACAACAACAACAACAATTACAACAGCAACAGCAACAACATGGGGGATCTTCCATGTCCACTCCGGCAACAGGACAGGCACATCAGTTCTCTAAGGATAGTGATGGACGTTCAATCTTTGTGGGGAATCTGCCGAGAGGTGAGAATGGTGGCCCAACCTCCACACCGGAGGAGTTAACAGAGTTCTTTTCAGACTGTGGGCAAATACTAAACTGCACAGTGTTGCGTGATCGTACAACAGGGGAGTTGAAGGGGACGGCTTATGTGGAATTCGCCTCGTATACTGGTATGGGAAGAGCCATTGACACAAAGAATAATGCTAACTTCAAGGGAAGTACTATAATTGTATGTTGACCGGTGAGTCCAGTGTATAAATATATACATATATTAATTATCTTCCTCTCTATATTTCTTACTTTCATAAATAATATCACTAATACATATATCTCCCCTCTATTGTACGCCGGACGGCGCCCCCCTCTCAATTTCACGAAAACGCAGGGAAAATAAAAGAAACAGTGAATGAATGAGTGAGTGAAGGCTTCTTGGTATACTTCTATACACTTATGGATTAACATACATTTATTTTTAAAAAAAAGGAAAAAAAAACAAGGAGACTGTGATAATAATGACGCGGCACTACACATTAATTAAGAAAAAGAACCAAAAAAAAAAGAAAAAAAAAGGCCGTATAAAAATCTCTAACATCCAAAAGATCTACAAGAATAATTAAAACAACTAGGCGAATACATCAAAAAACAAAAAAAAAAACAAAAAAATCAACTATTCCTAAAGAAAAAAAAAAGACTTTCAAATAAAAAATTAAAAGGAAATTACCTACACAAGAAAAAAAGAAGAAAAATAATAAAAATATATATATATATATATATATATATACATCAAGGGAAAAGAAAAAACATCTACCATCTATTTAAATATAACGAATATACCCTTGAAACACGTACCACAGCAAATATATATATATATATATATATATATATATATATGCCGGCCTCTAGACACCTCACTCATTCACTCACTCCGTAGCTCTTCACGGTTTCTATAATTTTCCCTCGTTTTTTCGTCCTCCTCTCTCCCTTTTTTTAAAACAACCCAAAAATCTCCCTCTCTCTCTCTCTGATGCATCCCAATTGTTTCTGAAATTCTTTTCTTTCTTCTCTTCCCCTTTTTCTTCCTAATACTCGGACGACCACGTACGTACACACATACATACATTGTGTGTACCTCTTGCATCTCTCTATCTATCTATCTATTTATTTATCTATATCTATCTCTGGCAGGTGACGAAGAAGCGATCGGCATTTCGGCCCGAGCGGGCGCGGGGTGGGCGGGGCGGGCGGGCGGCGGGGGCCGGACCCCAGCAGGGCGCCGCAGACCCCTACCAGGCGGTGATGGCCCTCATGGGGATGATGGCCGGCGGGGCGATGATGCAGCGCGGCAACAGAGGGCGCGGCGGGAGGGGCCGCGGCACAGCAGGAATGTACAACAACGCCGCACCCGCAGGCTTTCAGCCTTTCCAATAAAAGATGATGAGAAGTGTGTTTAGATATATATATATACAGATGGATATTTATGTTTTAAAGTAGTATAACTTCTCAGAAGGACGAGGATGAAAAGAAAGAAAAAAAAGGAAAAGGAAGCGGAAAAGCAAAAGCAAAAGAGATGGGGAAAAAAAAATTTAAACTGTGCTCGGAAGTTGAAGAATACGAAGGTATATTGGACGAAAAAAAAAAAACAATTTTAAAAGCAAATGTTTTTTCTCTTCGTATGCCTGGGAATTCTTCTGAGAGCTTCTTTTTTTTTTTCTCTTCTTCTTTTGTTCTGTTTTTTCTTCATTTAACTCTCAATGTCGGTATCATCTTGTTGTATCTTTGGTTTATATTGATAATAAAAGTATTAATGGTCTGGATATTCCTTAGTGGATTTTTGTTCACTATTGAAATATTTTGGCCAACTTGTTCACGCCCACATAGAAGTAATGAAGAAAAGGCAGAAGAAATTAAAAAAAAAAGAATATAAAGATATATATATCTTTATATTTATAATTTGATGATGATTACTTCTCAGAATACAGAAGGAATATAAATAAATAAATATATATATATATATATACTTTACTTTCAGTATTGATTGTAAATATTATTGTATGGAATTTGTAGTTTTGCTCTTCTTTGTTTCAGTTTTCTCTTCTCATTGATAGTGTGGGGGAGGGGGGTGTCTAGACCCTGCAAGGTAAGAGAAAGAAATTCACACATAAATAGAATATATAAATTTTTATTTATTTACAATGGCTACGGTAAACACAGAAGGGAAAGGGGAGTGGGTACTCATGTCAGAGTATGGCTACATTACCACGAAAGAGTATATTAAATTGGGCACTTCACTGGGCACCATTCAGGCACTTTCTTCACTACGCAAAATGAAACTTGCATGGTGGAGTGCAAAACAAAAAGTTCTTTCACGTAATCCATCTTGGAATACCGTGAGCGATCATTACAATAATAATAATAACAATAATAACAAGGACGACGACCACAACGAGAATACAAATTGTAATACCTACAATACTATCCATGAACTTCTTTATCCACTCCTCTCAGATATTGTATCCATTGCCGATATCACACATGGTCAGTCCATGAGTTTAACAATATTAAAGAGGTTTCGAAAACAGGCGGAACGTGTTAGGAATACACCGCGGGAACATCAAGTGGTGTTTGAAATGGCGGCAACAGATGCGGCCATCACTGGAATGAAACTTCGGGAGGCGCCGTTAAATATTACATATGAGGAAGCAATAGTTTTAACGAGTCTCATCAGTGAGGCACTCGCATGGGAATGGCATTGGCTTACATATGCTGATAATCAGAATAATAATAATAATAGTAGTAATAATAATATGGCATATGAGGGAAAACAAAGTTCTGGAACGCGTCCTCATACACTTGCCATGATGTTGGATAATAGTCCAGAGTTTAATCTTATATGGATGGCAGTCTCTGAGGCTAGTGTCTGGATGACATTCTTAGATGCCCTTTATGGAGGTGAAAGACCTAATGTGAATTATCACCATTGTAGTACAGCTCTTCTAAATACAAATCTGGCGAATCATCACATGTTATCTCATGGATTGGAGTGTGTGAAGGCAGAAATACTAGTGTTGGAGGAAAAGTTTATTCCTCTCCTCTTTGAGAAGGAAGAGGTGGAAATTAATAACCGTGAAAAAGGAGGAGAGATCATGAAAAGGAGGATAGTACTCCCATCATGCGTTAAACGTATTTTTGTCTGGCGAGGAACACCAGCAAAGGCTTTAAAAAGTGTAAGTGGAGTGGAGAGTTGGATGCTGGAAGAGGTACGGCATTTCAATCAACAACAAGAGAGTAATATAAAAAGTAATAATATCCATATCCACAATAACAACAATAGTAGTAGTAGTAGTAGTAATAACTATTGCTACTATGAAAATCCTGGTATGAGTGGTGCTATTTTGGATCTTTTCGATCTTGTGCGATGTTATTATCCACCACGAGAAGAAAAAGAAAAAAAGGGAAAACAAAAAGAAGAAGAAGAAGAAGAAGAATCTTTATTTCCTATTCTTACAGAACACATACTTAGGTTTCCCCCAAATGTAACTATTGTATCAAAAGAATCAAAATTTAAATTACAACAACGTATATCCTCTTTACTTGAAAATATGAAGAAAGCATTGCTTCAATTTCGTCCTGTAATGCCCATTTTACACATATATACATCCGGAACCACTGGTCTCCCTAAAGCTGCACGGTTTAGTCATTTACGTTTTTTCGCCGCATTCTTCCTCGCTTCTGTACTCCCGCAACGTCAGAAAACATGGGAGATATTATCAAAAAATAATACTCGTAATGGAAAGAATGAAGTTAATGAAAGTGGTTTCTGGACTAGATTAAAAAATATGTTTTTTAATCCTTATCCTTCCTTTAGGGATGAACTTAGTGTTCTCACAGTTTACAACTGTCTTCCTATGTACCATACTGTGGGTTGCGTCTTTTGCATGGGACACCTTCTTCGAGCATTAGAGGAACAACAAAATGTATTGGCTTCAGTGTCCGACTATAAAAGAAGTTTAAACGAGGAAGAAGAAAAAGAAAAAGAAAAAAAAAATTCTCTACCTAGTCGTCTGGAACCCCTTAATAATGAGAATAGAAAGTGTTTAGCTCCGACTGCACGAATGATTATTCGAACTAAATTTAGTGCTTCTCGGTTTGTACGTGATTTGCAGTATTATCGTGTTACTGTTTTTCAGTACATTGGTGAAATTATACGCTACGCTTTACACTATGAGATGAAACAAAAGAAAATCCTAAACATTGTTGGCAATGATGTAAGTAACAACTGCGTAAATGAAACAGGTGATGGGAAAAGTAATTGTAATGAGAAAAGTTCCACAACGAATCATTCGCAAGGAAATATGTGGATTGTACCTTTTGCATTTGGAAATGGACTTCGTAGTGATATCTGGCATGAGAGTAAGGCATATCTACATATTGCTCAAATTGTAGAATTCTATAGTTCAACAGAAGGTAATATATTTCTTATCAATTTATTTGACCTCCCTGGTGTTTCTGGTCATCTTCCACTCTTCCCATCGCCTATTTATCGTCTCTCTACACAATTTAATCCTCTTTTGCCGTTTCGCGTTGTGCGATATGACTTTGATAGTGGTGAGGTTTGGCGTGATCCCGCTACCGGCCGCTGTGCCTATTGCGGTGTAGGCGAGACGGGTGAAGTGGTGGGTGAAATTATTCGCGGCTTTGATATATTTGGCCTTCGCCGCTTTGATGGATATCACAGTGCGGTGGAAACACGCCGGAATATTATCCGTGATGTCTTTACCGCCGGCGATGCGTATTTCCGTTCCGGTGATCTCGTTCGCTTTGATGAGATGGGGTTCGTTACTTTTGTCGATCGCGTGGGGGAGACATACCGCTGGAAGGGTGAGAATGTCTCCACGACGGAGGTGATGAATACAATCAACAGGGCCGCCGGCACGCAGGTGGCAGTGCAGGAGGCGGTGGTGTACGGTGTGTGTATACCCAAACGGGAGGGACGGGCGGGAATGGCAAAACTCACACTTACACAGGAAAGACCAAAGAGCTTAAATTTAAATGTAATGAAAGATCATAATAATAATAATAAGAAGAAGAAGAAAGAGAAAGAGAAAGAAGTAGAAATAGATGCCCTGTATGTCTCTCAGACAGAGGAACGGCTCTTTCTGCAGAATGAACTCTATGGACTTCTCACCGGTAAAGAAGGAGATGGATCCACCGCCCTGCCCAGTTATGCTATTCCCGTCTGTATTCGCGTAGATGATCAAGATCAAGATGGAGAAACTAATACTCTCAACATGCATAAACAACAACAACAACAATTACACTACATAGAAAATGATAAAGAAGAGAAAACATCCCGGTCAAAGACTAAAAACCACACGGGTGATGCAGAGCACACCACCACCACATTTAAATACCGTCGACACGTCCTTGTAAAAGAGGGTTATCAATACGCTTTTTCAGGAAATAATGCCTATCAATCACGGGTATATGTTCTGGTAACGAAGAAAGAACTCCTTGAGGTGGCAGGAATAAAACCAATTCCTGATTCAGTGAAATGCGGTTATGTCCCGTTGAATACAGAGACAGTCAGTTTTCTTGGCGAAGAACTTCAGAACTGTGGGTGGTGACACTCCCCATTGTAGACGTATAGGTTTTATTTATAAATATTGGTATACGTATGTGTCTATCTTGTCAAACAAGTATAGTATCTTCTTTTTTTTTTTTTTGTTTTTTGTTATTTAACCCATATCCAAAATACTCCTTGTTTTTGGAGGAGGGGGTGAGGATGAATTTTTTTATTTTTAATTTATCTTTGTTGTAACGCTTCAGGTTGGTGGGTAATCTAACTCACTAGAATGTGAAGTGTGTGTGTGTGTGTGTGTGTTTTGCGTTTTGGTTATTGTTTTTGTGTTCGTACGATTTCTTTTCTTTTATCGTTTTGGCACTACGTTATTTTCTATTTTTCTTTTCGCATCCTTTAGAAATAAAAAATTAAAAAAAAAAAACTCAATACCTCAAACCTCCCTCCCCTAACCCTGTTATTCAATAGTCGAATGGATTTCTCACCTAAATATATATATATTCTTCGTCTATAATGGGTGGGATATACGTTATTGTTATTGTTGTCCCCTGATTTGCTTTTTTTTTGTTTTTTTTTTTTTTCGTTTTTGAGAAAATCATTGTATTCTGTTGTATTTTTATTGCTTCATATGTACAGAAGATGTCAGATAACAATTTCCCTGTTTCCTCAAAACAAATAAAATAAATTAATCAATGGATACCTTTTTTTTTTTGTTGTTGGTTTAAAACCAAGAGGGTAGCAAAAATAAGATGCTAAAAAAAAAAAAAATAAGAAATATTTCTTTTTCTTTTTTATTGCTGTTCTTCATAGGTAAAGTAAAGTGTAGACTATTCTTTTTTTGTTGTTGTTGTTGTTTCTAATTATCTCATTTACTACAAAAGCGGGTGAAAACACCATGTATGAATGGTCTCGTGGGAATAGTAATAGTAACATTAACGATAAGAACAACAATAGTGATGGTGGCGGTGTTGTTACCTCAGAAGGTAATGTGGATATATTAGCAGAAGAAAAGATTAGTCTTCGACTTATTCTGGATACACTCAACGACACCTTGGACCATAAGTATGCCAAGAGAAGGCAGAAAGACAACAGTAATAACAGTAACAATAATAATAGTAATAATAATGGTGTATCCTTCTCTCAGAGTAGTAGTAGTAGTAGAGTTATCGCCACAGATGTGGAAATGGTAGAATTGTTGGGAATGTTGCCGAGAGTTCTTCAAGGCGCTGTTGCACCTGCTGCGATGAAAGAGAAGGAACACCAACGGGAACTAATGGCTAGTTACAACATTCCACGATCTCCTCCCTTCTCACGGTATACCATACTTTATCATCTTCTCTTTAGTCCACTCTCTTCACCCTCTTCTTCACATACATTATTATTATTATCATCCTCTTCCTCTTCTTTTTTATCACCATCGACTGGTGAAAGTGAAGTACTGAACTGTATTGCTCGTGTGTTCATTTACAGTTGTGGTTCGGGTTCCCGAGAGTCATCCCTGTTGCTGCGGCAATCTAATCTCCACCGAATAGTGACGACGAATGAAGGTGCAAAACCAACGATTAGTGGGGACTCCATCACAATGGCATCTCTCCATTCCCTTGGCGATATTCTTCACTTATCTCTAAATAACAGTGAAGAAGAAGAAGAAGAAAGAGGAAGTGTTTGTAGGACACAATTACTTTTGCGAGATGCACTTCGTCATGCTCTTTCGGAATCTGGACTTTATGAATATCTTTGGCGTTCTCTGTTGTTTCATCCTCTTCCAGATGTACTCCGTGCGGTGATGGGCCAAATCCTGCGGGATGTTAGTCATTTTAATCTGTTAGGATTACCCGCCATTATAGTCATTACTCGACAGTCCATTACCCCAGCGGTGTGGGGAGAGCGAGTGGCGCAGTGTATTCTCTCTGATTCTTCACCCAATGTAAAGGAATCTCTTGTTATGATTTTACATGAAGGTCTAGTGGAGGCAATTTCTGCTGATAAGAAGAGTAGTCATTTTATTCACTGGAAGCGTTGGATGACGAATACATCTCTTAAATATTTACTTGGTGTTCTTTCTATTGGGGCTCCTGTTAGTGTACTGCAGCCACTTCTTGCAACATTGATGTTGGCGTTGGAAGTGGAATTGAAGGAAGATGGGAGAGAATTACAACGGAGTGTTGGACCAATGTGGGAGCGGTTTCATTTAATGACAGTGGTGGAAGTGTGTACTACGAAACTGGTATATTTATTTACAGGACCCAATGCTGTAAATAGACGTATATGGACTAGTGAAGATGATGTGGAATTAATTTCTTATCGTTTGTTAGTTAGCGGATTGGTACAGTTGTTGCGTCTTGCCTTAAAAGGAGTTGATGTATTGTTGTGTAGTTTAAACCATACTCATCGTAGTAATAGTAATAATAGTAATAATAATAACAATGCTGTAAAGGAGGCAATTTTAATATTACGTACGTGTGTGGAAAAGCAATTGGTAGCTGTTCTGCTAAAGTGTTTAGAAGAGCAGTATCAACAAAAGCAACAACAAGTATCATCTGCTGTATCTATATACATGTTTTCAACGGGAAAGATACGGGCAGAGATGATACGTCTACTGCGGGATCTCACAGAGCGTGCCACCCCACCGCTCTTCTTTCTCATGGGGAAATTTATACCGTACTTTCCAATGATGATGCAGTCCATTCTCAGCGGGGCCGGAAAGGCAGAGTTCCCATTTCTATGCAACTGCAAACAACAACAACAACAAAAGCAACAATATACAGTGTGTAGTGAAGAAGTGGAGATGATAGTACTTTTTGGAGTGTTGTTGTGTTACTCTTCACAGATGCGTGAAGGCTTTTTACAAACATTTTCTATCCTGCAATGTACATGGGAACAATGTCAGGCGGTGTTTGATGTACTTGAGGCCACAGCCCGATCACTGCCGGAGCACACAGTAGAGGGACTCTTATGGATAGATGGAACAGGCACTCTTATCCATAGAATGAGAAGTCTACTGCAGTCTAAGTCTGTGGAATGCCTCTTTCATCACCAAGAAGAAAAAGAAGAAGAACAGGAACAGGAACAGAGAGAAAAAATTTGGATTTCTAAGGGAAGCGCTATGGACTGTAGAAATAATGAAAGTCGTTGGGTTTCTATACAACAAGAGCGACAAAAAGTTATTTCGCAGAAAAGTCATATTCCCTGCGATTTTGTGTATCGTATTTTCCATTATCTCCGCAGGAGTATTATGAAGAGAATGAATGATGATATAAAACGCAAGGAAGAAAAAGAAAAAGAAGAAGAGGTTGATGGAGTCTCATTATCACCTATTCAACCAAGCACTAGTGCCAGTACAGGAAGTACAAAGATTGCTATTGTGGGTAACACACATGAGGAAGATATGATTGCTGTAGTGGAGGATTTAAAAAAGAAGACTGACAAGAAGAACAATAATAATAACAAGAGACATACAGGGCAAGAGGGATTGGTAACTCCTCACTCTACTGTAGAGAAGTGGAATCATCAGAAATTGGAAGAAAATGTCTTATTCGATGATGATGATGATAGCACAGAGAATTCATATGATCTACACTCCCTTGTTCATACACATTCTTCCCTTTCTACTGGTCAGCGAGAAGAAGAAGAAGAAGAACGGGAGTGGCAAATGAAAAAGAAAACCTCACTTGTGATGATACCTCCTTCAACGGATCTAAACATGCACGAGTTATTAAGACGTGTACGTTACTCCCAAATGGAAACAAGTGCTGCAGAGGAAAAAGTTTATCATGCCGCACTTGATTTGTTTGCCGCCCTCGCATCACGTTATTATCGTCACATATTAACTCCTCAAGCGGCAGTGGAGTATTTAAAGCGACACGAACATAAAGGATGGCCTCCACACTCTCACATAACAACGACAACATCATCATCATTAAATGACTCCATACAGTCCGTAGTCACTGGAAGGAAGAATTATAATACTATATTGCGTTTGTGGACTGGTCGGGATGTACGAAAGGAAGATCTTTTTTTCTTCTCACTTCCCATTAAAGAGATAAATGAAGAGGCTATTATCACCCTTATAGACCGATGTAAGAAACATAAACAAACACTTCGGCGAGTTTTGCGAACAACACCACAAACACTACGGGGTCGTCGTTGGTTCTTGGAAGACGCAATAACAAACATTATGGGTCGTCTTATTGCCCTTTTTCACATCCTTCTTCTCTCTATTCAGCAAGAGGGAGAGAAGGCTGTACAGGAGGTCTTTACACGTATGCCCGAAGTAGGTGATAGAGAGATGATATTAGACTCTGTTGCTGCCCGGTGTATGTGGACAGGTGATGCGATACAGCAGGAACTTCATTGTGGTACAATAATAGATATGACGAAGTTTATTGTTTCCTGTTTTTCACTTCCTGTGAACCTCACAGTGTAGATGAACAGTATGGAGTGAAAAATAAAAAAGAGAGACATGGTGGGGTAAGAGAGAATATACATTTTTTTTTCTCTCTTGTTTGCTAGTTTGTATTTGTATTTCTTTTACTCTTTTTTTTTTTTATACTTGTCTCTGAGTCTTTTAGAAGAGCAAGTGTCACTGTAATTGTCTTTCTTATTATTATTATTATTATTATTATTATTATTATTATTATTATTATTATTATTATTATTATTATTGAGGCGTGGATTTGGTGTGAGGTGCCAACCGCTTTAGGTGTGATATGGAGGAATGTTAAGACTCATATGCTCAATGTTTCTTTCTCTCTCTCTCTCTTTATTTCTCTCTTGTATATATATATATATATATATATTCCTTATGGTTTATTCTTCTTATCTCTAAAGCAAAAAAACCAACTACTAATCACAAGTATGCCTCGCAGACTAACAAAGGCCGATAACGGCAAGCTCATCTTCGTCCCTACTGATGGTTCCGTTCTAATTGAACTCGCCAGCAATCCCACCACCGGCTTCACATGGGTCATGGATGGCACTGCTGCGGGTCAAGAAGGTGTTAATGTCACCATTCGTGGAAACATCAACACTTACATTACTAAATACTTTCACATCAGGCGAGAGTACATTCATCCCGACAAGGGACGGCTTGGGGCCAGTGGCACTGATCGATTCCGCGTAACACCGCGAGTGTCCGGCGAACATGAGTTGGTGCTTGTTTACGCACGATCATGGGAAGCACCAGAGCCAGAGGCCGAGCGATTCCGTGTACGCTTACGCGCAGGGGAAAGGATAGCGAGGAGGTGGTGAAAGAAATAAAGAGAGAGTGTGTTGGGAGAAGGAAGGAAGTTCTCTCTTTCTCTTTCTCTCTGTGAAAGTATTTATTTATATATGTTTGTATTTATATTTATATATGATGAAAAATAATAATGGCATATTATCAACAAGATGAATGAAAATGAGGGAATAATGGAGAGAATATGTACCCTTTATCAGTAAGATAAGAATAGTCTCTTAAGTGAA